AAATTTAACGACATTGCGAAGCATTAGTTATTGTTGTTATGTAATCTATAGAGTTATTCACTTGGATTTATCCTTAACCTAAAAATGTGGGAAAAAGTAAAATAACGGAAAAGAAAATTGCAGCAATTAATATGTTTTTGTGTATAATATCGATATATTTTCAAATAATTTTATTTTAAGAAATAATTTTTGAAATAAGAATGCATTTAAATATTTCCATTCTTGGAAATTTCCATTCTTCTTTGTTGGTTAAATTTAAAGTAAAAGATTTAAGAAACAATCTAATACGTTCAAATATGTTACGAGATTCGATATTGTGTTGAGCGCCCTCTTGGATCACGTGATTTGTATCGAATGATAAGCGAAGAATCAATGTTTGCAGATCATCTTTGACTGCGGTACTGTCTGTTGTGTGATTCTAACCTAAAAATTTATCATGGCTGATACAGATCAAGATGTAACAGATCGTGGTGATGGTGATAATTTAAAAACCGACAAGCTATTTACTTTGAAGAAATGGAATGCTGTGGCTATGTGGAGTTGGGATGTCGAATGTGATACATGTGCTATTTGTCGAGTTCAGGTTATGGGTGAGTGTTTTTTTAACTTTAACCTGTTTCACTTTAGATTATTATATTAAAAAAGTATCACTTACAATTTCTTGATAACTATTACAATAATAATTATATTTCCTTCTATAGTTTTCTTTTTTTCATGTATAAGAATACAAGATTATACAAATCCATTTATGATTTTAAATCACAATTAGGTTAAAGAAAACAGAATGGTTTGCCACTCATTAATCATTTACTTTACTTTAATCTTAAATTAGTTTCATAAGAAATAAATTTACTAAATATATTTGATGGTGTATATAAAATAAGATTATTTTATCTGTCGCTAGAGAAATATTTGACTCTCTTATAGAAAATGATATAGTATCATTTTACCATTTTGTCAGAAGTAAACTAGAATTATATTATATAAATTATATAAATATTACTTGTATGAACTATTGGATATTATCTTATAAAAAAAATCTTAATAATACAGCAAAATCATAAATTTAATATAGCTCAATCAGTTTAATAATATTTAATATATTTAATAAAAATTGTTTTATATATGTACTTACAATAATTCAGGTTTACGATAACAGGTTTTTTTTTTACTAAATTCAACCTAATGATTTGAAATAATATTTGGGAATATTATAGGATCAAAGAAGATATTTTATAAGGAAAGGAAAATCTTAGAAAAGAAGATACAATGTATAAAGAAATATACTTCATTATGTATTAATTGTTTCAATATTTTGTATAAACTTAATATGAGTATTAAATTATCAAAATCATTTTTATTTACTTCTTGTTATGGCAAATGATAATTAGCAATCATTTTGTAATTGTTACTTTAGCAAGTATAAGTTTTTCATAAAATACAAAGACCTTTACATAATGTTCATATGGCAAAAGATTGTTAGATATGATAGTATTGTACTCGAATGAGATTCTCTTTAATTAGGATTCACATTGTCATAAATGTACATTAAAACAATTAAAAAATTAAGCACCCGATCATCTTATAAAGATGAATGTATTAAAACTCATAATTATGTATAAACTTGCGTCATTTATAGTAACGTAACAATTATGCTAAAATTTTAATTTTTATAAGATCGATACTCCATTTCAAACATTTCCGCACTAATTTCTTGTATTTCAATTATTACTAATTCCAATTACTATTTCATTAACTTTTTTTTTTTACAAACTAAAGATATATTTCCTATTTCTTTAATTCTATTTTATATGTTAATTCTTATATACATATGTTTGCTTATATAAGCTAACAGCTATGTACAAAGTTGGTAACTCACATTAATGGAGTACCGTAAGGACACATCATTTGATTTAAGAATTTATTGCCATAAAATGAGACAATTCGTCCTTCCATGAGTACTTATTTAACTAAGTATCTTTAAATAAAAAGTACAATTACTAGCTTGAGGTAGACCTTGCAACACTATCAAGTAATAAAAACAAATACTATATACCTAGTTAACAGCAGATTTTCTTCACGCCGCTTTCCGGATGTTTCAAATTTTTAACTAAACGACTTGTTCAAAATCGATAGATGGCTCATTTTTTTAATGAACATGTTTGCGAGCAACGAGAAAAAATCTTCGGAATTACGATTAAGAATTAATCTTATCATGATTAATAAAAAATGCTCGTCGGAAGACGTACACTTAGTACCAACTCCTTCGATTACTCATATTTAATTGACAACAATTAATTAAGAGGAATTATAAGAAGAACGAAGAAGAATGCGAAGACTCATACAAAAAGAGAAAAAGAGAGAGAAAGAGACAGAGAGAGAGAGAGAGAGAGACAGAGAGAAAGAGAGAAAGAGACAGAGAGAGAGAGAGAGAGAGAGAGAGAGAGAGAGAGAGAGAGAGAGAGAGAGAGAGAGAGAACAATCACGCTTCATCTCAAGAAGAAACATTCAAAGATCATTTACTTCATGCTTAAGCACTATTACGCGTGTTGTTTGTCAATCTCACTCTTTTTAGATTGATCATTAAAAAAGGAATAATAATAATATAAAACAAAGAAGAAATTTAAAAACAATTAAACTGCCATTGGCGTTGGTTTCATGTTAGCTACAGCACTCATTCTTCTTACTGGTCCTGCGAATCTCTTTTCGATTTCTTCAAGTGACCTGCCACGCGTTTCCGGTACCCATACATTGACGAAAATTAAACCGATTGCGCAAATGATTCCGAAGAACCAGAAGGTTCCGTATGCGCCGATCAATTCTTTGAAGTCTTCATAAGTTTTCGTCACTACGAAGGTACACGTCCAGTTGAAAGCCGTTGCGATACTAGCTGCCGTACCACGGATTCTAGCTGGTAAGATCTCACCCATCATTAGCCAAGGAATAGGGCCAAATCCTAAGGAGAAACCGATGACGTAAATGATCAGGCTGATCAATGGTATCCATCCGATGTTAGATACGTCTGTATCTCCTGTATTTATATAGAAGTACGAGCCAAGGCTGACGAGTGTAATAACCATGGAAACGCCACTGATGTATAGAAGCATTTTTCGACCGAGCTTGTCTATAACCGCTGCAGCGATGAAAGTCGATAAGAAGTTTACGATACCAACGATTATGGTCGAGATGTTTTCGTCGACTGTGCTACCAGCATCCTGTGTATAAGAAAAAAGAAAATACATATATCTCAAGGTTCTAGAATAAACGAAGTGATAGATGAAAAAGAGAAAACGATCAGATAGATACAAACCTTGAAGATTTGAACGGTGTAGAAGATAACAGCGTTGATACCAGACATCTGTTGAAAGAACATGAGACCCAATGAGATCAAAATGGGTTTGAGGTGATTCGGTTTGAGTAATTCTGTTAGTCCATTCTGAATATCTCTCTCGCTTTCTACATGCAACTCTTCGATCGTCGTCAACTCCTCGGTAATATCTACATTTTTACCGCGTAACCATTGAAGAGACTTGCGTGCTCTTTTTGTTTTACCCTTTGAGATATACCATCTTGGGGTTTCCGGAATTGCGAACATCAATACGAGGAATGGTATTGGTAAGGTACTACCTAGCAATGCAAGATACCTCCAGTTCAAATACATACCGGCTATGAAACACATTAGAATACCTATAACAAAAATTAGAATAATTTGAAGATGATTATTATTTCACGTTATCTTAATTGCTATTCGGAATAGAACTTACCGGTGTTACCGAAGGCTGTAGGTAACAAACCTAACGAACCACGAACTTCAGGCTGTATCGTTTCACCCAGATAAACTGGTAGTGATAGAGAAGTTATGCCTACGCAAAAACCACAGATGGCTCGGCCAATTAGAATCATAGGAATATTTTGAGCCAAACCGATGAGAACCCAAGCTAAAACGAGAAACGAGAAACGAGAAATAGAATATTTATTATACATAATGTATTTTGCGTGGAAATAAACCGAACGAGTTATTACATGACGAATGCCACGATGAATGTCGTATTGCATTTACAAATAGTATTTATGCATGGATACAGTTAAGGGGGGATAAAAATGTAATACAGTATGGTAACAGTTAGAAAGCAAAAAATTTTTTGCTTAACGGATGGACGGACATAATGCTAAGGTTCGAAATAATATACCGTTTGCTTTATTAAAGTGCCATATCACTGAGCATAACTCACAGATTTATTACGCATATGTCTGCACGTGGGAATAATAATGTCAACTATATATACACATAAACGAGAACTCGTTCGAATCCTTATAAATATAATGAACTGTTTGATCTATGCTTTCAAGGTTTTAGTAGCCGGACGTGAATCTTAATCTTAATCGTAATTTTCATGAAAAAGGAAAAGAAAAATAGAAAAGATAAAGAATTGACTAACGAGAAAACTTTTCTACGTCAACTTATTACTTAATTTCGAATAATTACAATTAATTTGCGATTTTAATTTAAAGGAAAGGGTAAGCGCAACCAATCGCGACATGGCAACAAATCGCGAGAAAGTATCAAGGTTTATAAACGATATTACGTATTGAGTAATATGTAATTAAGTTCCAAGATATTTAATCAAGCAGGACGAACAAGTAATTCTAAGAAGTAGTTCATTAATGATTTTTTTTGGTAATTATAAATCAATTGAAACGATTTAATTATTCACGACATGTGCAAAGAGTAATTCATCAATATGCGAATTTCAATCATTGACAGAGCTTCTGACGATGTATAAACGTCATGAATGTTTGTTTTCTTTAAACATCTTGTTCAGAGTGTGGAAATCAAGTTAAATAAAAAGAAAGAAAAGGAAGAAAAACAAACAACAAAAGGAAAAACGAAAGATATAAAAAATGAGTTTTCAATTCGAAACGCTTACCTACGATAAACGGCACTGCAGTTCCAAGAATAGTATTCCTTCTTCCGAAATATTCGATGAAGGGACCTCCAGCTATACCTCCGAAAAGTGCACTCAGAGGCATGATCGATCCGATCCACATACCCTGGAAAAGATCGATTACAAATATTAATTACATATATTTAAGTGTACATATATTCAAGTACCGATTGTTTATATCGTAAATGTCATTCACATTATTGTGTGGGTATGCACCTTGTTTCATACGTAAGAGAGTCGTGCGTGAGATATTGTCGTGTCAAAGTAGTCACGTACGCACGTGAGATGACGAAGAGTATAGGATCAATCATTATATCGTCCTTCGAATTTAAATGAAGCCGAAAGAGAGGGGTCAAGGAGGGAAACCATTGAGATTATTTATTACTATTCAAGTAATTGCTATTCAATTTGGTTCTTTTTTCTCTTTTGGATACAATCTTAGTTATAGTTATAAAGAAATGAAAAAAAACCGAAGCTTTTGATAGTGGGTACGGAATATGAATGAAGACAAAATAATTTATAAGAATTATTAAAGTCGTAATTGTTTCTACCGATAATCGCGAACACGTGGAAACAATTTGTAATTGTGCACGATATGAGCATAAAAGTTAACTTATGTTATTGTTGTTCATTGCAAATAGTCATCTTCGGGATCGGCGTGTCCATCGATTGGACCAATCGGGTTCGACATCACTGAGGTTCAACATTCGTTCGACCAATCGAATTGTAATCAGGCCATCGCGCCCCTGACCACGCACCAATGACGCACTTAAGGTTAAATTTTTAATCATCTATTGACCTTTCTAATATCGAAGGTTATGCGTATTATACCTTTTGGAATTCTCTATAAGGTTCTCAAAGCATAAGAAAGTGAGATCTCGTTAATAATCTCGAAAAAAAACGATAATCGTTTATTGATTCTGTAATACATATTACTTGCAACCTTAACCATCGATTTCGAATTTAGAACGATTCCTGATTGCACATGTTTCGTCTGATATAGATCGTTTAAGTATAAATCGATTTAAATCAATTCCATATCAGTAAACACAAGTGTTGATTACGTTAAATGTATTGCAAACAATTTCACTTTTATTAAGAGATAATTTATGAAAAAACTAAATTTATTAGGCTCGATCGACTTTTAGTAACGAAATCGGACTTTTTATTTTTTATTTTATTTTTTCTTTTATTTTTTCTTTTATTTTTTTTTTGGAACAATTAAAAGAAAATTGATTATGGTGATCATTATTCGACAATAAAATTCATAAAATGTAATTTTATAAATTTTCCAATCGAAGAAATATTATTATCGAAGAAAAAATGTTATAATCAGGGGAATATTTGAGAACATACGTGCTCGAATACGTATTTGAGAACCTTGAACATATGACGCTCATGAAAGTAGGATCATGTCTTAATGAACATATTTAAATAAAATATATATTCGATATTACAAGTTACTTATCGGAGCACGTATGTTTAGAAATATTTTCCCATATGATGTGATTTTCTTTTTTTATCTAAACCCTTGGTAATGTAATTTTTAATTTTAAAACGTTTTCAAAGAGTTTTCTCTCATAAAACGATGACTAAATATATAAGTTACGATTATTGTTGCATTCATTGTTCATCATTTAATCTACATACATGTAGGTATTTGATAATCCAATAATATTAACATGTAATACATAAACATTATTACTCACCATTTGTTTAGTAACTTCAAAAGTCATCTCGGTCTCATTGCTTTGCATAGAAACAAGGGCTGGCGAGGTGTAGGAAGTCGAATATCCAACAACAAGGGAACCCAATGACAGTGTTAAAGCTGCCAATATCTTTAAAAACACAAAAAAAATATTTTATTTAAAAAGTCGTTCACAGGTACACACACAGACACATATTTAAAACTAAAGTTTCTGTCTTCTTCTTATCTTTTTCCTTCATTTCTATTATTTTTTTTTTACATTGGAAGTATTATCGTAAACACTTATAATTGTTAGGAACGATTAAGACAAGCACATAGGAAATTAAGTCGTTTTAAATTTGTAACTTCCTCGTGTATATCGTCGGTAATATAATCGAAGGATGTTGTAAACGATACATTTATTTTCTCAATATCATCATCTTCTTTTTTCTCGTACCTGAGTAAAAATGGCCTTCGGTTCTGGCGTGTTTCCTGGCACTTCTATATTCACGTGAGTATCAGCTCGCATAAGAATTTTCATGGTTACAAGTATTTAATTTCTTCTACGCTGTTTTTAAATTGATCCAATCGAAAGTAGAACACGTTGATGTATTAAGTACACTTTCGTATCTTCTTATTCGTCTTATTATTAATAATAATAATTATTATTATTATTATAACAACAACAACAATACTAATAATAATTATAATAATAAGAACAACAACGATAATAGTATTAGTAATAGTAATAATAATAATAATAATAATAATATAAAAAAAAAATAAGAGTAATAATAGTAAGAAGAAAAAAAACGAAACGATAAAAGGTAAAAGATCACCAATCCGCAATAGCAACGAGAACCGATAATACTCGAAATGAAAGAATATGCTTGTCGGCGATTCAAAAGAATCAAGAAAATTACTATCCGAGCGGAAGTTATCGGTGTCAACGGTATAATATAAGCTATTGACACTCGTGGATTGCCGGGTGGTTCTCCTCGTTTATATAGAGGCAATATGCTCTCTTGGGGGGGGGGGGCAGCCCATCCCTTCTCTTTTACAATAAGTCACTGCAAGGTCTGTCGTGTTTCATTCGCGAAGTCTAACAAGTTGTACGCACGCTCGTTCACGATTTCGATTTATTTGTTAGAATCATCTTCAACATAGGATTATCAATTAAAGATAAAATTCTTTTCTGTTCTTCCAAAAATAGAATCATATGTACTTTTTTGCTTTTAGAATACTTCTTCAATAAATCTGTCTTCTTTCTCTTTCGACGTTTATCAATAGTAATAGTAGAGTAGTAGAGTAGTAGTAGTAGTGTAGTAGTAGTAGCAATAATAGTAGTAGTAATTCTTTTAAAGGAAAGTTACCGACAGAAAAACTTTCGCGTATACAAGAGTGGGAAATTAGTTTATTACTTGAAATAATCTAAAAGGTACTTTCGAAAACAGGGATACGTTGTTTTTTTCAAATTTTCGAATTTTCGCTTGTAATATAAAATTAAATCTTTTTATATGATTTCGAATTTTTCTTAATCTATCTTATCTTTTAAATCTATTTTATTTTTGATAATTTTATGATTTGATATGATATGAAATGAAATAATGGATTTTAAGTTTCGATTTTATGCTAAAGGTCAAACTATGAAAAAAACTAAGATATAATATCATTCTCTTTTTATTTTATCATTTTCCTTTTTAATCGACCACATTCAATAGTCGTCGATTGTCCAAGAAAAATAAATGGATATCAATGATTTAGGGTATGGTGTGTTCAAATTAAAAAAAAAAAAAGTACTGCAAAAAAGAACACCTTGGGAATCATCATATTACTCAAGCAAGGTTAGCAGCGTAACACAAGGTATTGTAAATGACAAGTCGTTTGTCGGGAGGCGCTGTCTCTCTTTTGTAGTATCTCGTTATTGCAAGAATAAACGTGACACGTGTGCAAAGGCCCAACGAAGTAATTGTAGTTAGATGATTAGAATAGCGAGTGTGAAGACAAGTGCACCCTTTTTTAAAGACTCATCTTTCTTAAGTGCACCCGTTTCTTTTTTTCTATTAATACATTTTCTTTTTCTTATGTATTATCTAAGACACATCGAGATCGAATATTAGACAATTAAGATAAAAGAGAAGAGAGTTTTTACAAAAGAAAAGAAATTACATTCATCCGGTTTCACGTCATATTTTTTCTTATTAGTAAAGATTTTTTATTTTTTCTTATTTATTCATTTTTTTCTTCAATTGTTTATTTAAGCGGTATTCATTGACCTGTCGTTTGCAACAACCTCGTGTCGGTCTATCGCGAGAATCTAGTAAGTGAATCAAAAAATGGATCAAGGATTGCGGCCATCCTTGAGACTTTGACGTGAATAGTACGAGATCGCTAAAGGATTAATGGGATATAGTTTCAAAGACAATAAGCATACCGCGAAAACCATGGAAACTACGTTCTTAGTATAGTTCAATGCCTTTGAAATGTTTTACATTTTTTTGTTTTCAAAAGTTTTCTTTTTTTTTCTTTTTTCTTATTCCGATCAATTAAGATTTATTATCTATAAAATATAGATTACGCGTAAAAATCCCTGATTCTCTTCTGCATGGTATGTATCCATGGCGGACTACATAAACGTTCGTACTACTTAAAGGTATTTGATTTTTCTCTTAGGACTTCATCGGTATCAACTTTTCGATTAGCGATCATTTCAGTAGGTATTTTCTGGTAAAAGTTTTTACTTTTTCTCTTTTTTTTTTTGTGAAATTAGATACTTTTTATGTTTGTTCTGCTACATATTAAAAGAAAAATTATTTAAAAAGTTCAAGTATTTTTAATTATCAATCATAAATCATCAATCATCAATCATATAATCTTTAAACTTTTTGTTTCGAATAGCATATATATATACCTTTGAAGAATGGACACTTAAATACGTAGAGTAGGTATATATGCCATCGCAAAATTGACGCTCAAATACGAATAGCGTATCGAACATCGTAATTCGTAAGCACTCTATACGTCAGTGTCAACGTCAAATACGACACATTATTTCACAAGTGCGCCGGAGCAAGAAAATTAATATACATTAATCAGTTAATCGTTATCAATATTTTAATTTGCAAACACATATGTTTTCGTATATAAACAGTTATATCGTTCAAAGAAATTAATTTTAGATTTTGGTCATAAAATACAAAATGTGAGAAATCTTTCGAATTTATTAATTAATTATCGAATTAATTACTTTTGCATAACGAACATTCGTAGTAACTAGTTTCCATAGTGGCCTATTTCTGTAATTTGCGGCGTGTGGATCTCGTAAAAAGATACTCATGCGAAGGTTTCTAGTAATGAGAAAGCTTTATCTCGATTAAATAAAATCCTATTATGAAACTTAGTAGCCCGATCCTTATTACTTTTTTTTTATTCATTCTATTCTTATTTCATTTTTAAAAGAAATTTTATGTGAGATTGAAAAAAATTATTCCACTCTTTTCGGTTTTACAACCGCGAATATAGCCTTTGAGATAACGATATTGTGCGATAAACACTTGTTCTTTTACATCTCTCTTTTGTTTCATTAATATCTTCATTAGAAATTTATACATGTAAATATTGTAATTTATTACAATCATTTTCATTTTTAATTCTTCTATCGACAATATTCTCATACAATCATGTTTTAACGAACAAATTCTTTGTACTTTTATCTCGAAAAGAATTACAAAAGATATCAAATGAATACAGATATCGATTACTTTGTTTCCAAGGATACGTTGAACTCGATTCATCTCTTTCGTAATTTTCTTTTCTTTTCTTTTTCTTTTTCTTTTTTTTTCAAATGAAATGTATCCAAAAGTTTGTTATCTTGTGAAGGAGAAATCAACGATAAAGTAGAACATTAACACATTAGCTGGGATAATGGTACCACTCGTCATAAATATTGAACTTCTCTCGCGATAAAAGAATAAATAAATCATTTCTTTTTCATTCCGATTAAAAAGAATAGATAAGACTACTATTAGACATTTATACTTTTTTACGATACATTAATTTATCCAAAGCTTTTTGCCAATATCAGATATTCCCGATTAACAGTTTAAACGAAATATATATACATATATTAATAATTAATAATAATAATAACAATATACACTTACCTGTTTGATGAAACGTTTCGATGACTGTTCTTGATCCTTTTGAAATTGTGATGGTGGTAAACGCTCCACTTCCAGCGTCCCATCTTTATCTTTCTCTTCCTGAGTAGTAGTCATCAGTCCTTTTATCGTAGGCTCGTGGGGATCCTTAGCCAACAATGGATCGATCTGCTTGTAATCGGCGTCGAGACCTTTGTCTAAAGGATCATAGATTCTTGGCGCAGGAAGAGTTTTTTGCGATTGCTGATTGTTGAAAAGCTGATGATTGTTTTTTAGATTTTCGACATAATAACGATTTGCTGACAAGCTGTTGCTACCGCTTAGTGATTGTTTTTTCTCGACGAGAAGGGCTGTTTGACTGTTGAAAGGACTTGCGTTTGTTGCGAGAGTCGCATTCGAGGCACAATCCAATGTTATACCCGAACTCGTCGAAGATCTCGCGATCGACGGGACCCTCGTATAATAATTGGGCGAAACGTTGCGCTCCTGAAAGAAAAAATTTTATCGATTTTGAATTAAATGATTTTATAAATGATATAATTTTTTAAATGAGAATACGTGATAACAGCAGCATGTTTTTCACACAATGAGATATCTAAAGATTTTGAATGACAATCTAAGTTTACGTTGAATCATATTTATGCAGAAAATTAATAAATTCGTGCCATGTATCATGATAGTAGAGGATGCTAAAAAAAATTGTTCGAAAAAAAATTGTTTATAATTATAAGGAATATAATAATCGTTCCTATATATTTGTATGATTTTTAACAATTTTTTTATATTGTTTTTCTAACGATAAAAATGTAAGGGAAATTATACTTCTTTTTGCAGAATCGGTTACAACAATTTATAAATTTTATAATCGTCAATCTTCATCTCATTTTATAATCAATAATTGATGCGTCACGTAATATCATTGTTACGTCTTTCAGATCTACCTTCTCTCATTTTTATCACGTATCCTTAGGGCGAATATTAGCTAATCAAGCTAATTTCATTGATCTAATACGCATTGAGAATGAATGAGTTATAATTTTTATATTGCTATAGTTGAAACTGGAAAGATCTAGAAGAAATAGACCGAACTGGATGGTACTGGACTTGAACTGTTTTATTTTGCGATAAACTCACACTATCGGTATATGACGTAAATAAATTTACGTAAAATTGTACAATGGAGGAGATTGGAAAAAATCTTAAGAAGTACGAGTCAAATGAAAAAGAACAAATCTCGTGATCGCAAAGGTTAAATTTGATGAAAACATAAAAAAAATAAATAAAAAAGGAAAATTAATACGACGAAAACGTAATAATAAAAATGACATGAAGTACCTTTATAACGTTTCCCTAAGTGTTCCTTTCCAGAAAAGGAAGACCAATTGCTTTAAAACACTTATCGAAAAAAGTTTTCTTCTTGAATAATTCAACTTTCGAAAGGGTATCTTCCTTCTCGAATTTGTTATTACACGAGGAACTTCGATAGACTAACGGATAAACTTCTTGTTCGAACGTTAAAGTGCAAACGCGAAAGAAAAGAAAAAAAAAATAGAGAAAAAAGGATCGATCGAATTTGGATGTTCACAATAACACAGTAACACACTGTAGCACAGTGGTCACTTTGTTGAGGGGATGAAACGCCAATGTTCCAGTATTTATATGGTAGACGTTTATCAAGAATTCTATTGTAAGGAGGGAAAGAGAGCCAGAGAAGAAGAGAAAGAAGGAAAGGAAAACAAAGTGGGAGAAATAAGTTCATGTCCACTATCAACGAAGGCAATGACGAAAAGTAATGGGCAAAGAATCGAGCCGCAATGCTTACTGTAAGATTAGATGACTTTTAGCCCGGCTATTGATAACCTTTGATGAACTTTGTGACTAAACTTTGAATCTTTTACTCTTGCGAATTGTTTTCGTTAAACTTTTTTGTCTCTTATGCGTATATTAGGGCTATATACTGCGCTATGGATCTTTTATGAAAATTCTGGACGCTGTCCATCACGCAGAGAGGAGCGAAGCGATCACGTGATTTGCCACGATTGTGTTTACTTCTTGTTAGATTTTTCGAAAGTAATGAGATAGGAATACCAATATGATTGCTTGTATCGGTCCATTTATTCGATCGATTATACTATAAAATATATAACAACGAATCTGTATTACGAAAGAAAGATATAATTTTTTTCGTATACGATATTGTAGACTTTTATGATCGAACTTCTTGTACTATGCGAATAGAAATAAGAAAAAGATCTTATATAAACGCAGTTATTTCGTAAATATGGAAAATTAATTATTTAATCATCATTTTCGATTAATAATTAACTATTGAAATTCTTATCGTCGTAAAATTAATTTTTTTTTTTCTATAGATTTTTTTTCTTTTCTTATTTCCTGATACCAACATTGACATAGCATTGACATTAAGTATTATAAGTCAATTAAAATGATAAGTAAAATGAAAATAATTTTACAAATTCGAAAATAGTTTTGTAATAATACGTAGAATAAAATAATTCAATGATTTACAGTAAGTTTATGAAATATTTGTTCAATGATTTACGACGTTTTAATAATAAAAATATTCTATGATTTAATCATCTATTAAATAGTTCAACAACGATTTCCGGATTAATTCAGTAGTACTGTACGAAGTATTTAGTATATCATCTATGAAATAATTGATTAATGTGAATTTAAATATTGAGAAATCTCTTTGTAAACATGTGATACGTAGTAATTCGAAATGAATTTTTGTTTGCTATTTAAAATTCGTAAAAATTTAATCGCTCTATAATATTTTCTAAAAATATTTCACTTCATATGTTTATTCATATTTTTTGTTATCATATATGCGTAGGAAGCGATTTCTTATATTTGATCATCTGTTGTCGGACTTCTTTCAGTAGTAGCGTCAATGTTATGTCAATGGTGGTATCAGTGAAGTTCACTATGTGAACCGTACGTTGATCAAATTACACGTGATAAAGAAAAAATTCGTGTTAACTGCGTATACGATGCAATACATTGAAGTTTTCATTCGGTTGAAAAATATTCATATTTACGCGAATCATTCGATAGTCGATATATCATCTATCGAGATTTGAAACTCGCGGGTTTCTTGCAACTGCAAAACGTGGAAAAACATTACATCAGCTGAACGTGTATTATATGGATATATATATATATATATGTATATATTTTTCTTTTTTTTTACGGAGGACTTTCTAAATAAATATCGAAATTGATAGGCAAGTTGGAGAACAAACTATCTACTTATCTCGGCTGATGGTAGAAATTCATAAATCGGTTGTAAAATCTGTAAATATGTAATACATCGACTTTCATGTTGATACAGTAATATTTACATACATATATATTTTCATTTTGTGTGTGTGTGTGTGTATATATATATACATAAAGATTTTCGATAACATATGAACAATTCGAAATAATTTCGAGAAAAAAGTTCATCTTCATGAACAAACGCGATCAAGATGAATCATATGAATTATCATATATATGTGTTAATATATTATAGAGGAAACGAGAGATCCATTATTGTCTATTTATCACGAGAAACGAGCGGTGCTAATGCGATCTATCCTCGTCCAATATTCCGTGAAATCGAATAAGTACGAGAGAACGGTATGATCAAGCATGTCATAGAAAAGTATCGTCGTAAATCAGATAACTGATATTGTTGGCTATCTTACTCCCACTACAACGATTCATTCTATACGTATTGTTTCACGCAAAGGAAATGAGCGAGACTCGTTGTTTTCCTATCTTTGTCATTAAATTTACGATCTATCTTTGTTGAGTGTTCATAATAGAGATGAAAAGACGGGCTATATGCTCATGAAACGATCTTATAACGATTTCACTTTTATTCCATGTTCTTGGCACGCGTAATGAAGCACTAGCACGTGCTACAAAGCATGATGATATTCTATACGAATAAGATCCTTCTGATTCTCTCTTTCTCTCTCTCTCTCTCTCTCTCTCTCTCTCTCTCTCTCTCTCTCTCGCTTTGATATTTTTATTTTCTAATGAATATGTAATTTTCAAAAGTTGACATTTATCTTCGTGCATATATCATCCAATCTATTTCAATATATACTTAGTAAAAGATTGTTGACAAGAAAAGTGACATTTCTCCAAAATGATTTATATTTTAAAAATTGCGCATTTAAAGTAATAAATTTATATTAACTCATATCTCTATAAAAAGAATTGGAAATATCAAACAAATTTGTACAAATAATTGAACGAAAATATCTAATTATAATATGTGACGTATTAATAATGCGTCATATATATATATTACGCGATGTAATATATATGTAAATACAAGTGTTATGTCTGAAGTATGTGTCTGATTGATTATCAAATATGAATTAATGTGTATTGCGTTACTGGAAATGGATAAAACACCTTTAAAGCTATTGACATGTAGAAACATGATGCACTTAGTAGTAACGATGAATTATCAACTCATTTGTAAATTGCGGTTCGTGAATTGTAATTAATTCATTCGAAGAATATCTAATACACTATGTCTTTTTTAAATCTTTTTAGCATACAATTTAGTTTAGAACTTGGGATACACGTGACATTTTTTTTTACAGAAACATAATTCGTTAAGAATTTGTAGTTAACATAAAAATTGTCGAAAAGAAATCTCTGTTTTGTAGCCAGGAAAATGACGACAATAATATAGTTGTGCTTTTTTCAACGATATTCCATCAAGGTAAATTATTCGAAAAAGAAGAAGAAAAAGAACCAACAAACGGACGAACGAACGAATGAATGAAATAAGAAAGCAGGGTAAATAAAAGGACAAAAAGGCAAATTGCAGGCTGTGCATCGAAAGCTATCTCTCTAATAGTGTGTGGCACGCGGCAATGTACTGAGACAAAATGTTTTCTTAATTTTTTATTTATTTATTTATTTTTTCATCAAAGAGAGAGAGAGGGAGAGAGGGAGAGAGAGAGAGAGAGAGAGAGAGAGAGAGAGAGAGAGAGAGAGAGAGAGAGAAGAGAGAAAGAGAAAGAGAGAGAGAGAGAGAGAGAGAGAGAGAGAGAGAGAGAGAGAGAGAGAGAGAGAGAGAGAGAGAGAGAGAGAGAGAGAGAGAGAGAGAGAGAGATCTTTTCCGTCCGAGACACCCTAATCTCCGATAATATGACATCTCTTTAATAAATATCTTCCCTCTTGAATCCTTCCACTAATATATTTTTATATTTCACATCGTCATTGATATCAACGCGAAATATAAAACTACTTTTTTTTGTCTTCTATTTTCTTTTTTTTTCTTTTTTCTTTGTTCGTTTTTTTTTTCTTTTCTTTTTTTTTTATTACTTTTACTATCGCAGCAGGATAACGAACTACTTGGGCGGATTTCTATGCATTGAAGAAGCAGGGTAACTTGATTTAGACATTAGAGCACAATTGATGACGTACCAGCGGCGTAGATGTTTGTGGCTCTTGAAGCATTTTAGCGCTGCGTCCATGACAGTCAACGTAGTCATGAGTTGGTTGCACTGAACTCATTTTCGAGTATAATTTTTCTAAATTACTTTAAAAAATAGCTTGATATTTATATATATATATATATATATATATATATATATATATATATATATTACACGGATGCGTATTTAATATATTTATATATTCGATTCGTTGTTCAGATGGTAGAAATGATTCTTGAAGTATATACACGAGTACGTGTATAATATACTTATATAGCTGATTCGTTGTCAGATGATAGAACTGATTCTTTGATATTCGAAAAGTCTATCTGTGTCTAACGGTTGTCACGATCTGACTGAGAGATGCTGTTTGAATTTCACGATTCAGACGCGTAGAAGATGTGCGAACTAGTCTCAAGTTTTACTCTACGTATTTGGAATATTGAAAATTGCAGCCATTTATGATTCTTTGGAAGCTAACTAATCGGGGGCTGAACGAAATGACTTAAGACCTGTTTGTATAGTAATTTAAGTTACGGCACGAACGATCATTATTTGCATCTGTCTACCAATGCATCGGGCTTTGATTTATTATGTTGAAGCTTAACAAGTCGTATACATATGTATTCAACGATAAGTTCTTTCTCGGGGAAACAAACGTTTTAAAAGATCAGATAACTTCGTAACCTATTGTATCGCCTTTTCTTTGTGTTCTTTCCCTTCTTCCGTTCTTCTTTTTTATTTTTGTCTTTTTTGTTTCTTTTTTGTTTTTCATTAAAAATAGAAGAGAAACAGATGAAACCGGTATTGTGCGGATCTGCCAATAACTTTTCTGCATTCTCACTAAACGTGACTTCAAAAGGCGACTCACATCAATTCCAATGTTAGGCAACCCGTTGTACAAGCGAGCAAATGTGTACAACTAGCTCCAGGCGCAACGATATTACAATGATCTATGATATAATTAACGTCTAAAAGAGTAAATGCGTGTATTCATGGAAAAATGCGTCAATGAATTTTGTGATTGACAAGATAAGAAAAAGAACAAATAACGATAAATAAAAAATTTTGTGTACTATTTTGAAAGTTTACAGGTAAAGATCTTCTAACCTTTCGAACTTGCATGTTTCTTAAGGTGATCTAATCGTTAATCGATATGCAATACAAAACAAAAACATAAGCAAATAAAGCTAAAGAAACGATCGCTGCGAATAGATAAAAGAAAGCACGTCACGAATTGTTAAATGAAAAAGATTTATAATTAATTAAAGTATGAATGTGACAGGTAATGATTGACGTTTTTAAGTTTGTGAAGTTCATTCTCGCATGCGATGAATGTTCCCTTTCTGCTACCTACCGTCGTTATAGAAAAAGAAAAAAAATAGTAGATATAAAATTGTGGAAATAGGTCCGAAGAGATATCGATAAAGCTAATGGTAACAGTCACACACAATAATGTTTATTAAATTTTTCTTGAGTGTTACATGTATGTTTTGCCTCTTTCTTTTCGAAAAAATGAAACTTGCGATAGGAGTTGTGAACGACGAGTCTGCCGCAGACAGTCTTCTGTAAGATCATCCAAACTTCGAAGTTAATTGTTAATATAATTACGCTTAAAGCATTTGCCAAATTTGTCCGTAGGAATTAATCTTTTTTTATATGATAAACACATTAAGATCATATTTCTTACATCTTCTACAAGTCGAAATTACAAACGTTCGAATAATTAACGTATTAGCAAAAATGATTTTTTTTTTTTTGTTTTCTTTTTTAATCAAAAATACAAACAAGACGTATGATTAATAACAGTAACAGGAAACGAGAGAAAAGGATCAAAAGATTCAGCGAAGTACAAAAGTGATACTTCTCCTCGAACGAACTTCTTCGTTCGTACATCAAAAAGGTACATATGTACGAAATTTTCAGACACAATATCGTCTTCTCTTTCCCATACACCTGCTAAACACCTGCTAATCAAAGAAAGATTATTATGATCTCGGAAAAAGTACGTAAAACGACTAATTTTGTTAAGTTAACGTAACTAAAAAATAATAAAATAAATAAATGAAGAAGAAAACCAAAAAATGTAAGAAATGCACGTGTCAAATTTTCGCGCGGTCGAACTAGTTCGTAGTTTCGAAAATGACGCTAGAGGTCGTTACGAAAAAAGAGGAGGGAAAAGGTAAAGCGGATATCTTCTCGGCGCGAGCTAATAGCGGGTTTTTCGTTTTGAAAGCAAAGGTTGCTCCGCGCGCGCATGCGCATTGCATCGCATCTTTCAAAAAGAATCGATATTTGTCATGCGCACACGTTACGTATATAAGCTCGTAAATGAGCGTGACGAGTTATTGAAGAGAAATGGGAACAAAGAGGAAAGAGACGAAGTACATCGAAGAGAAGTACGCGCATTTTATCGAACATGCCGTATCGTGAATTTCAAGAGTAAGGAAAAATAAAGGAAAAAAGAATGTAAATCGTCATGAAAGGTAAAATGATTTTAGTTGTTTGAATGTACGTCACACGTTGTATAACAAACGCTTGGTTCGGTACGATTCGGCTTGGCTCGGTTTAGCTCGATTCTCGTAAAAATATAATCTACGATAAGACAATCGTACAAAAGAAAATGGAGAGAAAGAGAGAGAGAGAGAGAGACAGATAGAGAGAAACAGATAGAGAGAGAGAGACAGATAGAGAGAGAGAGAGAGAGAGAGAGAGAGAGAGAGAGAGAGAGAGAGAGAGAGACAGATAGAGAGAGAGAGAGAGACAGATAGAGAGAGAGACAGATAGAGAGAGAAAGAGAGTGCATGAGCCACTCTCTTTCTCTGTCTGACATACATTTACGTTAGTAATCATCCATCTTATCGATAATTCGACGACGCGTCAACGAGGATAATTTGTGTATTTTTGTCAGAATTTGTTTGAAACGCGTTAGTAAATATATCGTCATTACGGAAAGGAAGATTGGATATGTAATACCATCAAAGTATCTATCCGAGGAACGAGATCAATAAAATAAAAGAAGCGCAATATTTATGCGCTGCAAAATATTCGAAAGGAAAAATAAAGAAAAATTAAAGAAATCCAAATGACAATGTGTTTGCATATATATCAGTAAGAAAGGTAGAAAATAAAACTTATGTTGCGGGCTCGAGGCTGAGAATACGATCGCCGTTGTTGTGTCAGTGGCCGCATATCGTGGAACTTTCCAGAAGCTTAGAGAAGGAGAAAGAGGAACGAAGATGGAACGTTAGCGGCAGCCGTGAACCGATCAAGGATAAAGGAAGAATGAACAAAAACAAAACAAGAAAGCCAGGTGTATATATGAGAAAAATGTATACTGACTGCATGGAAAATAAAATGATTTTTTATAAATAAATTCAATGATAAAAGAAAGAAAGAATGTTTAGAAATGAAGCGAGAAGTGAAGCATTATGGAGAAAAAAAATAAATTAAAAAAAAAAAAATAAAAAAAAAGAGGAAGAAAAAAGAGAAAGGACATCATATGTAGGGTAGAGAAGCTTCGCTTACCTTCGTTTTTGCGAAGGGCACTAGGCACAGGGGCCATGGTTGCATGATTTGTCTTCTCTGCGTGCTAGACGGCATCATGTTTTGCGTTGTAATGCCGGTTCTCTTTTTCAAACGGCTATCTGTCACCATGCACCGTCGTTGTAGTATTCAATCAATTACAAGTATCGGTGAACGTGTAGTAGTATTCGTCGTTGTCCTCACTCTCTCTTTCTCTTTCTCTTTTTCTCTCTTTAGATCGTAGTATCGTATAATTTCTCAATGAAACAAAACCAATATCGAAGTTCTCCTTTTATCTGTCAGTGGTAGATGTTACACGTAATAGATGAGATATATAAAAGGGGATGGTACTTGCGCAGTAACTACCAGAATGCCCCTATCGGTCCAGGATGTAACTGCATTTGTCTGCTTTCTATCTTTCAACTTTGTTACGACAGAGCGTGCGCATACTCAATACACGTGGCTTTGTTATGACAACAAAAAATTATTATTCGCTAGCTACCGGTTACTGTAACTGTTGTTATCCTCTTTCTATCGATCACACTTTCTTCTTTATTATAATCAAAGTGTTTCTAATCACAGTTGAATCAGAAATTTCTTGACGATGGTATGTATAGTGATATGTTGTTTGGTACGTTACTGTTCAACCCTCGTGATGCGATACCAGGAACGTCTAAAGTCTAAATGACGCCTCGTGGCGTCTATACTGTGGTAACTACCTCGCTTTACCACCACCACAACCACCAGCACCGCCACTACCACCGTTCGTTATAGTCGCCTTACGGCGATTGCTTCCTCTATATTTTACTGCTGCCTGCACTCCTCTCGACCAGCTGCTATAGTTATGTCTATTCTTGTCTTAATTTTCTCTATCCTTCTTTTCACTACTATTTCCTTTGAATTTTTTCTTTCTGGAATCGTAAAAAGTCAATATTCCATCTACTCTATCTTCTACTTTCTTTCTCCTTAAGATTATTTTCTTCAATGAAACTCAATGAAGAATTTATTTCGGCGCGAAATTCAAAGTATGTCTCGATAATCAAATACGATTAATAATCTGTTGTATATATTTATCGCGGTAGTCACACCGATGAAAGGATACGATGCACGTGTTATTACTCGTGTGTTTTTGGAAGGTTTGCTAATCAGATCGGGGGGTTTGTCTCTTTTATATAGACGCCGTTGCAGACGCAAGCACCGCCCACTTCTTTTCTTGGGGCGCGTTCCTGACCGTATGGTGGGGATAGAAGCGAGCCACGACGACCCGACGTTGGGAGTCGCGTGAATTACCCGCGGATTGGAAACCGTGTTATGTCGATTTTACATATGTGTATATGTTTATATATATATATATATATATATATATATATATATATATATATGACATATATAAGTAACATTTGATCTAATCAAATCATTCTATGGAATAATTCATCAATAATACAATGCATATTTACGAAGTGGTTGCGTCAATGGTCGAAACTCGCACATTGGCTTCATTTTTCTCTCCATCCATCCTTAAAATCTATATTTTCGATATGATCATTCGTTGTTACGCGCTTCAGGTCTCGTATATATTCATTTATTTGGTCGAAGTGATTTTATGGGCATGCGCGAGAGACAAGCACGTCCTCTTGCTCCTTCATATTCCTCTCCACGTTTCTTCACCCATTCTATTTGACTTTTGATATATTCGTCTGTTCTCTACTCTATGTAGACGAACCTGTCGTGAAATGTGGTCTTTAGCCGGAAAGGAAGAAATAAGAACAAAACCAACAAAAAAACAAGACATTATTACGTATTACTATTTGCCTACCTAATCATGATGCAATCTATTTATCTACAGAGATATATTTCTTTACATGTTAAACCATTAAAAATTTTAAACACGAAGTAAAATTTCTTTTTTTTTTTTTTTTCTATAGAAAATCATATATCCGATTGTATTTTTCTAAAAAAAAAAAGACCTATCATTCGAAGTTTATTATTGGTCTGAAAAAAAGAAAAAAAAAAAGAACAAAAAAAGAAAACAGAAGATCGAGAAGAAAAAAACAGGAAAAGGAAAAGAAATAACAAGAAATGTTATTCTGTTCATTACATTCTGTCCAAAGATGAGAAGAAACAGAGATACCAAAATGGTGATCTTTCGTTCACGATTATCTCTACGATAAAAGGGACAATTCCTTTAATGACAAATTGATAATAAGCCGAATATAATACATCGAAAGGATATCGATTATGAGAAACCAAGTACATTCGAACGGTGACGATAGTAACAACTTCTCAGATCTCCCGTAGAAGGTTCGAGTCGTTCGACCTCGTTCGGCAACGTACTCGTCCGTATACAGTCGCCAGACTTGTCTTTCCCTTTCTCTATCTTTCTCTCTTTCTCTCTTTCTTGCTCTCTCTCCGTCTCTCTCTCTCTCTCTTTCTCTCTCTCTCTCTCTCTCTCTCTCTCTCTTTCTCTTTCTCTCTCTCTCTTTTTCTCGTTCGCTTGCTTTCTGCACACACGCCTATCCGCACGTACGCTTGGCATCCCTCTCTCCTGGAAGTCTTATTACCGCTTCTTCTTTCTTCCGTATCTTTCTTCTCCACAAACTTGCCCTCCTCAAGTTAGTCCGGACGTTAGTAGATACACCTTCTCGTGTGTGTGTATGCACGTACATACACACACACATATGTCGCTACTTGCACGCGTGTACGTGTCG